GGTTCCTTTTCACACAACACTCAACAAAAGAAAGTTCCCAAATTTCTCAAAGTCCACAGGGTTTTGAATTTTAAACAAGTCCAAAAATTTTGTACACAAAAATTGCCTGGTGGCTCTCAGGATTCAAACTGTGTGTGTTGCGTAAAAATTTGGGGGTTATATACAATTTTCTTGCCCAATTTTGGCGGGATTTCTTAACAGAGGAGATGTCCAGGTGGCGGGAACTTTTTGGCTCCAGAAAAAATGCCAGGTGGTGGCAGCTGCTGTCGAGAGTCATTTTACAACTCAATGTTGCAATTTTAGTGCATGTTTTTGAACTTTGTGAACATGGTTTTCTCCCAGTGACGGGGTGTTTAGTTTTAGTGTACTGCCAATTTTTTCGGCAGTAAAATAATATCTTCGGAGTTTGGATTTTTGGAAACCTTTTACAAGGAGGAGTTTGACAGCTCCACATCGTTTTTGTTTCGAGAGACAAATAGTTTTTTGCGAGGGACGATGTTTTCCTGCTCATTTTGCCAGCTGCTGGCAGTGTTTGAGATTTAGTTTCCTAGCTTAATTTTTGCAGGAAGGGAGCAATTCCTTTTCTGTTTTCAGACCCTTGCCAGTTTTACAATCGGCTCAAATTGCCCCGGTTCTTGGGAATTTTCCAGTTCTTTTCCTTTTCAGGATTTTTGCCAATGTTTAGCTGTTGGCTTATATTACCCCGGTTCCCGGGAACGACCTTTCCTTTCTCTTTTTGTCTTTTTCTGCGCATCCCAAGATGCGCAATTAAATTTCAAGTCACCATCCTCTCCCTGCTGACGGCGGTATTTGTTGCAGTCAAAAGAAATTTTGTACAATCCCATCATGTCAAATATTCTGGCGATGATGCCTGCAATCTGTCTTTTAGTCAACCTTTTGTTTTTCAAAAGGTCCGCAATATTCTCCAAGCAGGGGGACATCTGATCTTCTTTGGGGTAATACTTGACCCCCAGGATTTTGATAGGATTGCCACCTCTTCCTGGTAGGATCCGGAACTTATCAAGGATAAATCCCCCCTTTTTCAGAATTGTGGCTGCCCTTTTTAACTTAGTGTCAATGACTTCTGGGGTGTCCCCCAGAACGATGACATCATCCACATAGGTGTTCTCTGTCAACTCAGTGTATTCTTCCTGAGTGATTTCCTTTTCATTTAAGGCCTTCTGATAGAGAAACCTGATACTAGCATTGAGGACAAATGGGGCGCAATTAATGCCCCATGGCAAACGTAGAAATCGGAAGAATTTAAAAGTGTAAGAGCCATTGCTCTGTCTTTCAGACCATCTTATAATTAGGAGCCATTGGTCTTCTTCTCTCAGTTGGACCTGCAGGAAGGCCTTTTTTATGTCTGCCGTGCCAAAGCAGGGCAAAGTTCAAATTCGATTGATGATGTCAGGGATCAGGGGCAGGATATTTGGTCCTTGCTCCATAATTTCCTTTGTTGATGCTTTTCCTTTATCTGCGGTGTTCCCAGCAATCACCACCCTGAGTGGCGTGCTGGCGCTGTCTGGTCTCATCACCCCATGATGGGGCAGTTTGGTGAAAAGCGTCCCCTCTCCGTTAGCTCCTGTAAGGAGGTTTCTTTGATTACCCCATCTTGTTCCCATTCTTTCACTTGTTTTTCGTAGGATTCGGCATATTTGTCCGCTTTTGACAGAGTATTTATAACAGACTTTATTTGATGTGCTTCTCCCATTTTGAGATTGGGACTGCAGGATTCTGGAAAGAGTGCCGTTTTTGGGAGAGGGGCTATTATCCTCCCCTCATCCAATATTTGAAGCTCCTTAAGATATGCCTGAAGGATGGCGTCTGCGTCCTTTTCCTTTTCTTCAGGATCCCCAAAGATGTCAAAATGATCTCTTTGAAGTTGTTTGGAAATTTCCTCATTCAACCAAAGATCCTCAACGTTTTCTTCTTCAGTAACCCTTACGGAGAATACGGTTGCTCTTTCTGATCGGTATGGGGCCTGATGGCTAAGGTTTCCCTTGGCAACCCCTCCAAAAAGAGTCTCTTGGAGGCAGAAATGGTCAGATTCGAAAAACTTTCTGCTATTGTGACTGGCGACTGTAACCATGTCCTTACCCCCCAGAATGATGTCCCACCAAATGGCGTCGGATTCCACAATTCTGGGGTTGGCAAGCTTATCCTCATGATTTTTAAGCCATGGTAGGATTTCAGGGTTTTTCCCTGACCATGCCTCTTTTATGGGGATGACCAGGGCCTGAGTTTGGAGGGGGTAACCAACCCCTTTTCTGTGACCCAAGTGTAGGTCAACAAATTGATCTGAGGAAATGCTTTGCCCATCTTTGTTGACACCATGAATGGTGTATTTTGTACCACATGTCTGAATGGGAGTTTTAAGTCTATTGACGCATTCCCTCGTGATAAGGGTGGTTTGGGCACCCGTATCAAGAAGTATGTATAGCTTTTCCCCATTGGGGTAGCTTTTAACTTCAGCTGTTTCAATGAAAGAGCTCAAGAGGTTGGACAGGAGGGTTGTCAAATTAATTCTTAATTGTCATGCCTTTGGGTCCTTGGGTTCCTCCTGAACTTTTTGCAGAGGAGAAGGATCCTCTTTTTGAGTAACAATTTGGTTTTTCCAATCTTCTTTGAAGCTTTTAATCTCATTGAGGATCAATTACCCATGAATGAGATCATCGGGTTCCTCAATCTTTTCTTCCTTCTTTTCTTGGGGCTTTGCTTTGATGCAGAGGGAAGTGTGATGCTTACTGGAGCATTTCTTACATCTCCAGCTACTTCGGCACTCAGCCTGAGAATGATTTGCCTTGAGGCAGTTGAAGCAAAGATTTTTTGTCTCAGCTAATTCTCTGCGCTTTGAAGGGAAGTGTGATGCTTACTGGAGCATTTCTTACATCTCCAGCTACTTCGGCACTCAGCCTGAGAATGATTTGCCTTGAGGCAGTTGAAGCAAAGATTTTTTGTCTCAGCTAATTCTCTGCGCTTTGATACGCTGTAAATGCAATTAGTGTGGAAGTGCTCCTTTTTGCAAAAGGCACATTTGATCTCAAATTTCTTATTATTGGCTGTTTTCCCAAAGTTCTGCTTCACAAACTTGGGTTTCTTGGAAGGATTTTCATCGGATCCTTTCTCTGCTTTTCTTTTGCGAGCATTTTGGTTTTTACCCTTAGGCTGCTTTTCAGTCTCTTGTACCCCAACTTTGAAAGAACATGATGCCTTTTTGTTGGGACAATTCTCCCTTACAGAAAAGGAAGTATAGACCAATCTCAGCCAAGAGTATTTTTTCAAGGGATTAGTTATCAAGGAAATCCTTTCCGAGGGTGAGGCTTGGTGAATTGCTACGTCAATCATCATTGATCCGGACAACTTAGATTCCACAATAGGCCATACCCTATTTTCAATTATGTCTGGGTTTGGTTCGATTTTCTTCAACTTTATAAATAGAATAGAAATTTGGTAAGCATATTCAGCTGCTGCCCTCATGGATTCATCCAAAGGGCTTAGTATCTCAATTTCCAGGTAGAGCTTATTTTTTGACGCGGAAGCGTTACCATATTTATCAAAGAGAAGTTTGATCAAGTCAAGGTAGTCATCTTCCTCTTCACTACTCTGAAAAGGAGCCGTGTCTCGTTTCAATTGACCGGACAAATGCATTTGGAGTAAACTTATCCTCTTGGAAGGAGTGAGAAGGTTCCTTGGGGCCAGATGATACTTCCGGAAATTGTTCCAGATCGTTTCCCAATCTTCCTCAGAATTTTCCCCGTCAAAGTAGGGGAAGGAGGGGTGATCCGATGATTTGAGAACCTTGGCAATTTCTTTTTGAGCATCAATTTGTTTGTTTCCTGTGGCGAATTTGCTCAGGACTTTTTGATAAGAGGGGTTCTGTACCCCAACTTGCTCAAGGAGATAATTTTCCTGATTGAATTGAGCATCCTCGTTTTTGGCAGGACTCTCAGGAAGGATCACCCCAAGGATTTTTCCAGGGGTTGGTCTGAGTACCCTCCATGATTGAAGGAGGGTGACATCAGTGGATTCGTTGATAAGTTTCATTTCCATTTTGAGTTTGGAGACTTTGAGGTAGATCTCCATATCCTCTTTATCTGTAGAGGGTTGATAAATGCCTTCTTCTATTTTAAGGAGGTATTTTCTGATTTCCTTCATCTTAGTGGGGTTAATCCCACTTTGATTCTTCGAGAAGGTATCCAGAACCATCATTAAGTTTGACAGTACCGATAATGATTGCATTTCATCTGGGGGTTCGTCTCGCTCAGAACATTCTGAGTAAGTTTTCTCACTCCTTATTTCCTCCTCAAAATCTTGAGGAGGGATTATTTGTTGGATTTTGGGGGGACAACATGGTCCTCTCTTGAGGGGGCCACCCCCTATGGGGACTTCATGGAAGATTTCCATTTCTTGAATGAATTTGGCTAAATCCCCTGAATTTAACTCCTCAACCAATTTTTTCCTTGCGTTGGGCATTTTTCAGAAGAGAGAGTGGTCAAATTGCTTTTCCCTACGTCACCTTCCCATAAAATCTATATTCAAGTCCTTGAACTACACGTCCTTCTCGTGTTTGGTGAGAGACGATGGTGAAAACGTGTTTAAAAACTGACCCTATAAAACAGGGTCCTCTCTTTACATGATACTCTCTTAAAAGATCGCAGAGTTGCCCTTTTCAAGAAAAGGGTTTTTACAAAAGTTGGTTTTTAAGAAGTTGGTCTGAGGAGAAAAAGATCAGATCTACAGAAAAAATAATCAGTAGACAAATTGGCAGGCGCGCAACCTGCTGGAATAAGGGCAAATGTGTTTTCCACAATCTTACGCAATTTTTCACGAGACACTCTCAAACACTTTGAATATATGCGCCAGACTTTTTGCGTTATGTTCGCAAGTTCAGATTTTGAGATTTGGACACTGAATAATGGTTCTGAAACTTTCGAAGCAGTCTTCTGCAGCACTCTTGTCGTCGTTCTGATGATGATTCTGCTGTCGAGGTCCATTTTATGCTTTTCGGGATCCTTTGTTTCAAGCCCGGGGCTTGTCATCTGCAACGTCGGGAACTTCCGCCGGATCCCGGTAAATTCAGCCCAACTGTTAGGGGGGCTGATTTATCGGGATACGGAAATTTGTAAAAAGTCGGTTTTCCCCAAAAATTTGGATTTTTGGGATGAAGAGGTTTAGGTCTTAAAAGACTCGTGAGAAAGGAATCTGCTCCTCTCTATAAAATTCGACAAGGACCATTTGTGTCCTTGTTTTGAGTTTCTGACGGGGGGAAGGCGCTTGCGCAGCAAGCGTCGAGTTTTGAGTGTTTTAGAGGTAATTGAGTCCCCTCATAAAAGAGGGGAACCCCTGTCATTTTTCCGGGGTTCTATCTCTTTTTGGCGGCTTAATGGCGGCCAGCCAGTCTGAGCCATGTGTCTTTTGGCGCGCCAATATTCATCGGCCCCCCCTTTTAGAAATATAATCCCCAAAGTTTTGAACTTTGGGGATGACCAATAAATTGCGTCAAAAACATGACAGGAACCTCGGCTCGGGGGGTAATTTCTCACAAATATTTAGCCTAGTTAAACCTGACATCTGGGGACATCACAGTTCCGTTTTATGAATTCACAAAACCATCTTATATGATCTTCTTTTTTGCGGGTGTGTGCCATTCGTAAACAAACTTGAATTGACCTTCTTGGACACATGCAATTCTTCAAATATAAAATTACAAATTGGGTCTTTCTTTGATTCAACCTTGATTCAAGCCATTTTGTTACTTGTTTGCGCAGCACATCATAACTGCAGCATACTCATGTTATTTTCTGAGAATTCTGACACATTCCACTGTAAGTATGATTGATACATCCATATTTGCATCATCAAACTGCCCTCTGCATAGATGACCACATGGGACACACCCACTTTGTGTCAACAATGCATGACTTTTTTACATGTTAAGAAAGAATGTGATGCTGACATCATGCAGGATGCATCATCTACACAGCCTATTCTGATGCATGAAAAATTTTGCATTTGGTTTTCCTGGGGACAATAAATTTATATTTTGTGACATTAACTGAAGGATTTGCAATGGTGTTTTTATTGTTGCCTTTAGAAGGTTTTAAGCTTATTTTGAAAAGCTCCCAAATTCAGATTTATTGTGGAAATGATTAACTGATTTTAACCATATGTTGATGAACCAAGTATTCAAATAATTCTTCAAATTTCACTATCGCCAGAGGATATGAGCAATCAATGCATTTCAGAAATGCATTTATTAATAAACTGATTTAGGATTCTTGAAACGTCTTCGACATCAGCTTAGTGATCCATTATACGAATGTTTGTCATTAAATCCCTGATCATTGGACGAAACATTTTTATTGTGTTTCACTTCCTTAGAAGTTTTTTTTTTAATTTTTTATTGGTGCCTTCAGAAGGTAAGTTTGCTTTCGAAAAGCTCTCAATTTCCGATGCACACGACGCCAAGTACGGTTACGATATGGACTCCATAATGCACTACGATTCTTATGGGTTCGGCAAGATCAACCCCGTCACCGGGAGACAACTGCAAACAATTTTCGTGAAAGCGGATCCCAGTCGGATCATCTCCAGAGCCGAAGTGTTGTCTCCAGGGAATGTCGAGGAAATTCACCAGGTCTATGATGAACTCTGCACTAATAAGCTCAAGTATAAGAAGCCTGCGGCGAAGATTTTTCGATGGGTCATGCGCTTCATTCGAAGGGTATTCAATGCTTTGCGGAATTCTGGGTAAACATTTCGAAAACCTGCGACGGTATGATGGTGGTACACCAGAGAAATCAACTCAGAAATCTATGGAAGTCAGAGGGTTCAATTACATGTGACGAAAAAGAAAACCATATTTTCTTTCCAAAAAATGAGTTTTTCTGCGTGTATAAAAGGGAGGGGGAACTCAGATGAATAATCAAGGCTATGAACAGATCATGATTTTATAATTAAAAAAAAAAGACATTGATTTTCCTGAGGATGCCTAATCATGTTTTATCTGCTTCAGACACAAAAGTTTTCATTTAGACGAAGCTAATAATGCCCCTCAATTGTTCTTGCATCAATTATTATCGTTCAAGTCCCAAAACCGCAACTCGATAAATTTTTACTGTTTCTTTCCAGTTTTTGCTTTCCCCGAAATTTATCAAGTTATTTCTTGCTATCACAGCTTCATTTGAAAAAATTATCTAAAAATTTGTGCTTCATACCACGAATTATTCATGTTTTTCAAGGGTTAACTATTAGTGCGAGAATAACCACGCAGATCGTTCACTAATAATTACAAATGTGTACTGAAGAAGAATTTGAAAATAAACTGCAAACAATTTTCGTGAAAGCGGATCCCAGTCGGATCATCTCCAGAGCCGAAGTGTTGTCTCCAGGGAATGTCGAGGAAATTCACCAGGTCTATGATGAACTCTGCACTAATAAGCTCAAGTACAAGAAGCCTGCGGCGAAGATTTTTCGATGGGTCATGCGCTTCATTCGAAGGGTATTCAATGCTCTGCGGAATTCTGGGTAAACATTTCGAAAACCTGCGACGGTATGATGGTGGTACACCAGAGAAATCAACTCAGAAATCTATGGAAGTGAGAGGGTTCAATTACACGTGACGGAAAAGAAAACCATATTTTATTTCCAAAAAATGAGTTTTTCTGCGTGTAAAAGGGAGGGGGAACTCAGATGAATAATCAAGGCTATAAACAGATCATGATTTTATAATTTTTGAAAATGACATTGATTTTCCTGAGGATGCCTAATCATGTTTTATCTGCTTCAGACACAAATTTTTTCATTTAGACGAAGCTAATAATGCCCCTCAATTGTTCTTGCATCAATTATAATCGTTCAAGTCCCAAAAACACAACTCGATAAATTTGTACTTTATCTTTCCAGTTTTTGCTGTCCGCCAAAATGTATCAAGTTATTTCTTGCTATCACAGCTTCATTTGAAAAAATATAGATTTTTAAACACGAAGTATGGTGCTTAATAAGTACAAAAAGTTCCCAATTGATAATCACGCTCTTATTGGTGCGTCTAGCAAGTGATTATTAATGTTTACACATGACTTCTTCTTAAACTTTTATGTATGACCTCGGCATCATTTCAGTTGGATAGAAAAAAAAACAGATGAGCGACTGCATATATTTTTCATGACTTGTTCAACATGAAAATATTTTTTTCCACAATATTTGATGGTGAAAGGTCAGTACGAACTTCACTTTTCTGCTCTCTTACTTCTTTTTTTGTTCGCTAGCTGTAAAATGTTGCCATTCGAGGAAGCAGACAGGCAAACGCTCGAGTCATTTTGTCATAGTCTCGCTAAGGGAAGCTCGCGTTCAGAAAAGTTTGAAGAAAGATTTTTTTCAGTTTACACGGTGCTTCGTTGCGGAAAAGTTCACTTGACACAAATATGGAGAACAATTTCAAACCAACCTCCAGTTAATCATCTTCACCATCTACATTTAGAAAATAAACTGTAGTCATCGTCTTTTTCTCAACTCACGAATGCTTTCGACGAGTGCGACCCCAAAAAAGGCTTAGCAAAATACTTTCATTTTCAGAGATATTGTGAACCCATTCTGATCATGACGTAGTGCAAGCGTCATTAATGTCACAAGAAGACCAGTTAGCGCTTTTAGACCTGTGTTAGTTACCTTCGCTCGCTTCTTCTTGATTCGGCCTACTTTGAGTACGTTTTAAGCTCATTTAAGCCACCCCACATGGCTGGAGGAATGAATATTGAAGAATTTACGGTATGGTTACATTTTCAATATTTAGCGTTTCACAAAAATTTAAAATAAGCATGCAGCAAGAGTTTTGTTTTCTTTATACGTGCATTTCCGTATGTCCTTTTAGCAAATATTTATAAATTGATTAAAGGTTGATAGCTTCGATAGATCAGAAACTCGGAATTGGGAAAGGATAGTAGCAATCATTTCTTGTTTAAATTTTATCCAATTTTCTACGGACCAATTTTTGAACTGCCGATGATGGATCGGATAAAAAAGAGCAGCAGTACAATCGCAAAAAAATACCCCAAGAAATTAGATCATCGTGAAGCAAAAAAAAATCATGATTTCACAGTTGACGTTACTGTTAGACGTTTTTCAATTTTCATTCGAGCGAACTGGGTCAAAGAACTGACCCAATTCTCCCGGTATGATGTCTCGTCTGATCATCAATTTCATTCAACATTTTGAAGGTTTGGACTAGAGGGAGTACTTCCAAGTTTAAAAACGTGAAAAGTGCTGAATTCGACGATATAATAAAAGATTACTGTATTATCAGAGACGAGGTGGAGAATGAATTCAATAGTCGTGACGGAGAAGAATCAATTTCTTCGAAATATTTTTTTCAGCGAGGTGTGCGGAATTAAGGCTCAATTTTCAATTTTTATTGTATATTTCGAAACATGTATTTCAAATTTACCCCAGGATTTTCAGCAACACCATCCCGAAGTAGCCATTAAACCAAGACCTACATGGACTTATTGGCCGAACGGAATTGTATACTACGAATTCGGAGACGGAGCCGGTGAGCGGTGACTTTTCGCTGTTTGTAACCAAGAAATAATTTGCATATCATTGCCTGAATCTCAATTAGACATTAATTACGATCGGTCTGTGATCTGGAACAGTGCCGTTGCTGAGATCACTTCAAAAACATGCCTTCGGATTTGCGCAAGGAACGGAAATGAGTCCATACGAAGCTACGTCGTTGTGAAGACAGAAAAATCGGGGTAATCTTAGCAATTTCCTGTCCATAGTTATGAGCAAGTAAAGGCAGTTCGAACCTAAAATATAGGGAAAATTATATGATTCTTGTTCAGCCTCGACGTAGAAAGAATAAGGCATACGAGCATTTTCGCGATCCATATCTAATCTGATTGGAAGAACCAATTTCCTCAGGGAATGGGTGATTAATTTCAATTAAGGCCTCGTCTTCATTCAATATTTATTTTCTGGCGAAACGGCTACTTTCAATCCTTAGTCTCACTTTGTAGATGAGCGCATTTTTTTGTTTGTAAATAACAGCAGTCGTGAATACATGAAATTGCGTGCAAAAATCCCAGGGAGTGATGCGTTACGTTTTTCTACGGAAAGTAAAACTAAAGTCTCTGAATAAGATGTTGAGCTATTTCAGACGTTTTACTCGTAAGAAGAATTCCACGAACCCTTGATAAAAGCCATGATCACTTTTTTGACGGATTTCCTGTTCAGAAAATATCCTTCAACTACATATATATATACACTTGATCCAGAACTGATGCCAAATCCGATTCATCTTTCTTCTGTCTAATCTAAAGTACAGTATCTTGATTCTTGATGTCTTAGATTTGCCACGAAGAAATGAATATTTTTTTCATCAGCGAGAAACATTTTTACTCCGGTTCCTGAATTATCGCGCAATTTTCCTCAAATTTCAAGACATACTTGAAAAAAAAATTCCTACTCGAGCACTTTTAGAGGAAATCTGATGAAATACCTGTTTAATATTTTGTCTAAGAACCTTTTCTGTACGTTTCTTTGCTGATTCTTTAAATTACACTAGCTTGATTGAAAAACTTGATAGACCAACACGATACTTGGATTTGTCCTTGAATATAAACAAAATGTGACTACAAGAAAAGAATGAAGTTTCAAGGGTGAAAACGTGTGCCAGAAATATGAAGTACTTTTTTTGGCTGGTTTCTGAATTACACCACATTTCATCTCAGTACTGCTGTTTTATCCGGTCCAAATAAATCAAGAGAGCATTGACAAGATATCTGAAACTAGTTTCTTTTTTTGTTTGCCTTTCATGTTCAATCCTTTTCGGGAAGCTGCTGGTCTTACGTTGGCATGAGCACTTCGTCGTCTCAACAACTGAATCTTCAGTCATCGGGTTGTTGGCTCAAGGGCACGGTGATCCACGAGATACTTCACGCTGTTGGGTTTTTGCACGAACACCAACGCTTCGACAGAGATGATTTTATTACAGTGTACGACCCCAATATTGACCCCGGTAAGATCTATAAGGGGAATTTAAAATTAAACGCGTTTTTTTGAAAATATAAAACGTCACTGATTTCGAGGTCGCCTTATAACGCTCTAAGCCAGTGTTCCCTAACCCGTGGTCCGCGGACCGGCGCCGGTCCGCAGTAGTTTGTTGCCGGTCCGTGGGAAATTTTATTCATCATTATACATTTTTTGAAAGTACGGATGGTCTGTTAGCGTTATTGGGAGTTTTGGAAAGATCATGGCAGTTTAAATCATCTGACCAAAATAAAAGTTGACTTTTCTCCGTTTTAACCCTGCAGACAAATTTTCACCTGCTGAGATAAATTATTTCAAGTTTTCATTCTGAGGAGCCTTTCTTTGAGCCCACCTTTTTAATTTTTTGAAGACATTCTACCACAGCTATTACATTGGTTCTCAACTTAGCTAAAAAAAAAACCTTTTCAAATGCCTGCCATGACGTTTTTCGAGCAAAACTTTGTAAATTTTTGTAAATTGTTAAATTTTTGACGCTCCTGATTAAACAAAAAAAGAGTCAAATACTGTACGCTGAATCTCGGAATCATGCTTGTAAATACTGTATATCTGATAATTCATTTCATAAAATATTGAAAGACGAAGAGAACCAGAGACAAGCGGTGACATAATGCGAGCATGAGCGATCAAGAAGGTGTCCGTCTTCAAACTAAATTGGATTGAAAAACTTATTTTCGTATATGGACCTGAAGGGTTCGATTTCTTCGTTTTCATAACTATGATGTTCAACTGATTTTATTTTTTTTCAGGATCAACGGGGCAGTTTTCAAAGGTGTCTTTATCGATTAGCAACAACGTCAACAGCCCCTACGACATTGACTCAATCATGCACTACGGCAGTTACTCCTTTGGCCAGCGTTCTGGGAATTCCTTGTTGCAAACCATTTTTGTCAAAAACGATTCCAATAGGTTGATAACTGAGCCCTACGCGAGACCCTACTTATCTCCTGTGGATGCTGCTGAAATTAATACGGTTTATTCGAGCACTTGTACGAACATTTCGGTTGAATGTCCGTCGATCGCGGTGCTGGCACCTGATCCCACTACGCCTCCTGCTGCGACGAAAAAGGCTGGTGGCCTTTTTCAAATTCTGGCGAGCTTTTTCCGAAATTTGCGCGATTTTTTTCAAGATTTTTAGTGGTACATTTTTGTACAGGCTGCGTGAAAAACGTACGCGAGTCGAGAATATTTGAACACAGTTTGAGTATACACAGGATATTCCATTGCTCATTGCGAGTTCAAAGTTTTCATTTCCTTTCCACAAAAAAACCGCGTCCTACATTTTTACTTCAAGTGGTCGACGCATTTACTAGAATATATGACATCACTTAGCAATACGCAAAATTCTTTGTATTGTACGTCTGAAAAATACCTTGTTGATTTCGAATGTAAGACTCATCACTTTCATAACTTCTTCCAAATGTTGTCAGAAATACTATGGAAAAATTCACTCACTCCACATTTAACATCTAAATTTCGTCGAGAATTTTTAACAGACAGGAAATTTCAGGTGAAAATGCGGTTCTGTGATTAAAAGTGTTATCAAGAGGCGCATGGAAATCTGAGCACTGATGTACTATGACTACGTTCGATTGAATTTTAATATTTTAATCAAATACCAATAATGATACTGTAATACGAGTTCAATAAAGTTTCAAGTCATTTTGTGCATAATTTATCTGATGTTCTTCTAAATGAATATGAATAAGGTCTCTATAAAGTACAGTCCTGTATTAGGTATATTTTTTACCAAAGTGTAAAATGCCTAAGAATTTAATAGGAGCTCGGCGTGTTTATTCACAGTATTCAGTTTCTAAAACGACTAAGCAGACCATAAAAGAGTAGAAGAGCTGCAGTTTCCAGGAAGTTCGAATGGATTCCTTATTTATGAAAAGTTCTCTTCAAAAGGATTAATTCTCCGAATTAATCCTAAATTATAAATTAAAATTATCCTATCTTTACTAATAAAGTTACTTATCTCTGTTCCTAAGTTCGTACCCACGTTTTTTTAATTTCCCTTGCCCCGCCTCCAAGAGACCAGGGTTCCCTCAGACATGAATTTCTGATTTCAACTTCAAAAATCGTTTTAAAATATTCTTATTGACCAAACTTAAAATTTCTTGCAC